GCTGGGCAGAGGTGCCGAGCGCGGGCTGGGGCCGCGGAGCCAATTGCAACCTCAGGCTACAGAAATCAGGGTCGCTGGGTGGGCAGCCCTATCCCCGTGGCTCCCTGAGCGTGCACATCCTTGGCACCCGGCATCCAGACCCCCTCAGCGGGAGGCGGGCTGCAGAATCGCGGTGCCCGGGAGGAGGACCAGTGCTGCCCGTTCTGACACGCCATCTCCCCAGCGAGGGCGGGGTGCTAGGCTGGCGGGCTGCACGGGGACCACTACACAGGACCTCCTGGCACAAGCCCTTTTCGTGGACGACCGCCTGCCCTGGCTTGGAGTGGAGGCGACGAAATGAGCACCCCGCCCCCATCCGCGCCCCAGCGCTGTCGCCCCAGTCACCTTCCTTTGCCCTTCTCCTACAGCACCTTGGACTTGCACCCTCCTGAACTGGGGAAAATCTGAGGAAACCAAGCAGGGACCTTGGAGACGCCGCCTGCATTCTCAACAGCCTGGAAATCCAGTCACCTTGGTACCTCCTCGCTGCTTCCCAGGCACTTCGGAGGGGCAGGTTTGCCGTTTCTATCCCCATCCCTGTCCCATCCCCCGTCTGTCTGTGCTGAGGAAGGGAATCTTCTGAGAGAAGTTGGGATTTAGGTACCCTGTAACCTAGCCCCAGAGGCCAAGAAGCAGCTATAGGTAAACGACATCCTAGCTTTGTAGCTTTGTGAGGGAAACAAACCTTATCAACTAACTCCTTCCCTTGGGCAGTTTTTGAATATTTCTTAGAAGACTAGAGACCCAAGGAACCCGACTTTACTGGCCAATTATTGCACCCCGAGCTTGGCTCTGACTCTCTCCTTCTGGGAAGAGACACATTTTGCTTATGACCTCTGCTGGCCCCGGTCCAACCGCGGCCTGGCCTTGGGCTGTCATCGGGGACCGTGGTTTTTAAGACCTGACTGAAAGGAAAGGCTGCAAGCCTCCAGCTATTATTGGCTCAAACTCTGGGCTGTACTCTTCTCTGGGACCTGCTGGCTTCCTAATCCCCCTCTGGGCTGTGGCAGCACCTCTGCCCTTCCAGCCAGCAAGAAAATCGGTTGTCAAACCACTTGGGGATGGTGATGGAGGCGTCCCTGTGTGAGCTGATGCGGGATTTGGAAACAGTCAGGAAACAAACAGGAATGAGGAATCTTTTTTTTTTTAAAAGCCCCGCATGATTCTGGGACTAAGAAAAGATGGAGATTCTACTGGGGTATGATACTTGGCCTCTCCTTGTCAGGTCTCCCCAGCCCAGGGGACTCACATATGCAGGTCCTGTACTGGGTGATGTATATTCAGAACCCAGCACCTCCTGAACTCCTTAAGCGGTAAATGCATTCCGAATATTAAACTCCTCACAATCGCCTACCAAATGTAATGACGATATTGACACTCCCCACCCCCCACACACCTTAGGAATGATACCTTGCCACCTCTTCCATATCAGGACAGGAACTAGAACAATGGAAAGGACCATTCTGAGCTTTGGATCCATATATGCCCATTTTACAGAGCCATAACCAGACTACTGTTTAATAAGAGAGTGCACAAAGGCAAATCACTGTCCTGTCCAAATGAATAGAAAGCTGGGGATGATGGGAGGACACAGGCACACAGGGAAATTCATCTCTATGATGCCTTTTCAAGCATGCCAGTCTTTTGGCACTGCCATGTTGGGTACCACACAAATCAGGTACCCCAAACCAGGCCCTGCCTTGGGAAGTCTGTCATCTAAGAGGCAGGGAGATATTGAGATACAGTACTCAGAAGCTAGTATTTAACTCAGGCAGGCAGGTAATAGGAATGACCTTGGGAGGGTGCGCTCACAGATCGTGGACTGGACCTGAAGAGCGCCAAGGCCCCACCAACTCTAGCAGACCTTGTGTGGTGGGCTTGCCTGCAAACGGGCTTGAGCTAGGTTGCTGTGCGTGGGATCCTTTCCAGACTCATTTACAAACTCGTACTCAGTGAAATGTGATAAACCGAACACTGGAGGGATTTCTAAACAAGGAATTAAAAAACTCGACTCCAAATGGAAGAGATTCAGGCAACAAATCGTCAGTGTTTATGTGCCTCTGAATAGCTTTGATTTCCTTCGGTAGGAGCTGACAGCTGGCTGACAGAAAGCTCGCCCAGGGAGAGAGGAGACAAAAATCAAGTATGGAATTAGGAATAATGTTTTCAGGTAACTTTCTATTTCCATTCGGAGTGGGTGTCTGGGAGGGTGAGTGTTGTTCTGGTTTGAATTGCTCCCTTTATCCACATATCTTTTCCCCAAGGGCTCCTGATCCTAAGATGCTTTGCTTCTGTCTTCTAGTTTCCTAGTACCAGGGTAGCGAGCTGGGGATCCCAGCGTTGAGCCTGAGAATGCCCTTTAGCCTCGCTATCTGCTGCCTCCATTAGCTGTGGTCTTTCTGATTTGCTCAGAGGGTTAGTCTTCGGTTTCCTGCCCCAGAAACTGCTTGTAGGCTGCTCGGGGTGGGGGCAGCACCTGGGCGTCCAAGCGCTCTGTCCCCAGGCTCTCAACCCACCTTTTGTTTTTCACCATTTGCCTCATTGCCACTTTGTGTGGTGCCGGGGACTACCGGGACCTATGTAGTTCGAGGGTCATCTGTACCAGTCACATGACAGCATTTACCATTCTGTCAGCTCTCCTCTCTTTGCTAAGCTTATTTCAAAAATTTTCATTTGATAATACCTTTCTTCCTGTTGTCTTTATTCTTGGAAGTGTATGCCTTTTAGCCTTAAAAAAAATAAAAAGGTGACTACATTTTGAGTGGAAGTTTACCAGTAGAGAAAGGTAGTGAAACAATGTACCAAGCAGGCAGTGATGGTTCTAACTAAAGATTTCTTGTAAGAACAAGCCTTGGACTGGAGCAATGGGCCAACAGTTAAGAGCTCTAACTGCTCTTCCAAAGGACCCAGATTCAATCCCCAGAACCCACATGACCGCTTACAACCACCTATAACCCTGGCTCCAGGGGATCTGATGCCCTTTTCTGGCACCCAAGAGAACCAACATAGACATGCAGGCAGGCAAGCCTTCATACACATAAAGTAAAAATTAAAAAAGAAGTAAAATAGAGAAGGGGTTTACACACTATTTCATAATTAAGACCTTCTAATAATGTAGGAACCTATATGGAAAATCTAGCAAGTTCCTACTAGATTCCACTCAATCTGATGAAACATTACTGACATAGTAAAAAGGTCATTTCCAATAGTCCAATAGTCTAAGGACATCCTTGTTTCATTTAACAGGCACTGTCTGTTTTGTGGCATGTGTGCATGGTGTGTGTGTGTGCACATACATGGGTGCACACTGCCTTTGTGTGCCCACATGCAGGTGTCCAGGTGCATGTCCATGTGTGCACACATGGGTGCACACTGCTCATGTGTGCCCATGTACAGGTGTACAGGTTCATGTGTACCTCTGCATATGTGCATGGTGTGTGTGCACACATGGGTGCACACTGCTCATGTGTGCTCATGTGCAGGTGTACAGGCACATGTGTGCTTCTGCATGGTGTGTGTGCACACATGGGTGCACACTGCTCATGTGTGCCCATGTGCAGGTGTACAGGCCATGTGTACCTCTATGTGTGTGCATAATGTGTGCGCACACATGGGTTCACACTTCTCATGTGTGCCTATGTGCAAATATACAGGTGCATGTGTACCTATGTGTGTGCATGTTGTATGTGCATACATGAGTGCACACTGCTCATGTGTGTCCATGTGCAGGTATACAGGTGCATGTGTACCTGTGTGTGTGTGTACAAGGTGTATGTGTGTATACATGGATTCATACTTGTTATAAGGAAGGCCGCTTGTTGGTTCCTGGCTGCTCAGCCCCAAAATAATTACACAGAAACTGTATTAATTAAATCATTGCTTGGCCCATTAGCTCTAACTTCTTATTGGCTAACGCTTACATATTAATTTAACCCATCTCCACTAATCTGTGTATCACCACGTGGCTGTGGCTTATCAGGAAAAGTTTCAGAGTCTATCTCCGGTGGGGCTACATGGCTTCTCTCTGACTCTGCCCTTCTTTCTCCCAACATTCAGTTTAGTTTTCCCTGCCTAGATCTGTTCCCTTATAGCTCTGCTATAGGCCCCAAGCAGTTCCTTTATTAACCAATGATATTCACAGCATACAGAGGGGAATCCCACATCACACACTACTCATGTATGAACAAGTGCATGTGTACAGGTGCATATACACCTGTGTGTGTGCATACATGGGTTTACACTGCTCATGTGTAAACATGTGCAGGTGTACATAGATATGTACACGTGTGTGTGTGTGTGTGTGTGTGTGTGTGTGTGTGTATGTGTTTGTGCATGGCAGCCAGAAGTTGAGGGTAGATGGTGTCTTCCTCAGCTGCTCTCTCCTTTGTTTTTTAAATCAAGGCTCACATTGAACTTAGAGCTCACTGATTCAGCTAGTCTAGTTACCCAGCCTGCTCTGGAGTCTCCTGTCCTCACTTTCCACGTGTTGGGATTACAGGCCGGCTACCATATCCATCCTACATTATGTGGGTGCTGGGGAGCTGAACTCTAGTCCCCCTGCTTGCATGGCGAGTGCTGTATGGATGAGCACATCTCCCTAACTGGGAACTCAACACCAGGTGGGCTAGTCTTCTGGTCAGTGAGGCCCAGAGATGTATCTACTTCTGCTTCTCAAGTTCAGGGGTAACAGGCATGCACCCCCATGTCCATATTTCTTTGAGCATCGGTTCTGGACGTCAGACTCGGTTCCTCAGGCTCTCAGCACAAGTGCTTTATCCGCCAAGCCATCTTCCCATCTCTTGTCATTTTAAAAGACTTTAGATTTGAAATATGATTAAAAAAAAAGAGGTTAAATTCTGAGATAGATTTCTTAAAAAGAAGACTGAATCAAGTAGAAGGTGAAGCAGGAGAACCTCCTTCTAGTGCTGCCTCTTGGTTTCATGTCCACACTCCAAAAATATTATAAGGTTGTCATTCCAGCCAGCTCCCAAACAACGACACAGAGGGACTTCGTGTTAATTATGAAAGCTGGGCCTGAGCTTAGGCTTGTTCCTAGCTAGTTCTTGTAACTTTAGTTAACCCATTTCTATTAGTCTATGTGCTGCCACATGACTCATAACTCTCACCTTTTCTCCTGCATCCTACCCCCTTTGCATCGGGCTCATACCCTGCCTCTCTTCCTTTCCGTCTCCACAAGTACCACCTAGCCTTTTCTGCCTAGCTAATGACCATTCAGCAATTTAATAAACCAATCACAGTGATACATCTTCACACAGTATAAAGGATTATTCCACAACAACAGATGATGAAGCCAACATTCCAACAGGCCAAGGCTTGGTGGGACATACAGCTAACAGGAAAGTTTGGATCAAATTCTACATCTGCCTGTTCTGAATCTGCTCTGAACTGTAACTTGCATGGAAGACACATTGTCAGCGGGGAAATTGTCAAGAAAGCAGAAGAGCAAAGGGGCTGACTATCCACATGATGTTGGCCCTGGGTTCTGAGGGTGGGGTTTCCTCCCACAGGAGGAAAGATCATTCTAGGCAAGAGAAGTGGTCTTCATCAAACACTCTGTGAAAAGCAAATCAGATTCACAGGTCAGGATTTGTGGCTCACAGATCAATCTAGCAAGATGAAAGAACTCTCAGAAAGAGGGTTGAGGCCTAAAGACAGGGCTGCCCAAGTAAGGCACTGACTACAGAACGAAGTGCCAGAAGCCTCGTCATAACCTCTGTGGAATGAAGTATCCTACAATCTTCTTCTACAAAAGTTGAAGTTTTAACGGTAACAGAATTGCCCCACTATTGAAATGTGAGTGAGAAGCTATTAGAACATACGGAAGCACAGACCCATGTAAACACTCTGGGGAGTGAAGCAAAGGATTGCCGGAGCCCAGGTATTCAGGCTGGTCTGAATAGCCTAGCAGAACGTCCAGGGCTGGGGAGCTAGCTCAGTCAGTTAAGCACTTGCCATGCAAGTGTGAGGACTTGAGTTTTGTCTCCAGCATCCATGTAAATGGTGCACACGTGTAATCTCAGCACAGACCCACGGACTGCCTAGCCAGTCAAAGAGCCTTATCCGAGCCCCCTGAGTCCTGGTGACAGACCTTATCTCAAATAGCAAGGTGTGGACTCCTGAAGGACAATGGAGAGTGACTTTGGCTTGCATACAGGCCTGCCCCACCACCAGTGAGCATGCCTACATCTACACATAACGATGATGTAAAGGCAGATTTCATTCCAGTGGAAAGTAAACCACCTGGACTCCTTTCTGCTTAATAATTCTCTAGGCCTCAGGAGAGAAGGCTTGGCATCGTCTGCCTAACAGATAGAGGAGGCGGCCATTTGGTATTCAACTCCCCTGCAGCTCACAACACCCCCATTTCTGTAGGATGGAGAAGAGGCTGCTGCCCCTCTCGGATAGCCCAGCCTCCAGTTTGTTACGACTTCCTCTCTTAGAGCCTTCTGCTAAGTGCTTAGGGTTAGTGTTGTAGAGAAGGGCTTTACATGAGGTGTGTGTGTGTGTGTGTGTGTGTGTGTGTGTGTGTATAAGTAAAGCCTTTCCATCTTTCCACACTTAAAGGTCCCGAAGAATGAGAACAACCAGATAAGAGTCCCAATTCTAGAAACTATAGGAATGTGTAGTATTGAAAGTCTGAGCCAAGTCATGGTGGTACACATCTCGAATTCCAGCACTCTGAGTTCGAGGTCCAGCCTGGTCTCCATAGTGTACATAGTGAGTTCCAGGACAGCCAAAGCTACACAGTGAGACCTTGTCTGGAAAGCAACAACAACAAAGTTGTAATAACTTGTTCTTATTTCAGGGTCTGTTTCTCAAGCATGACTTTGGCTTAAGAATTTTTTTAAAAACTTGCTTTTTTTGTGTGATTGCTACTGTATCATTTCTTTGCTAGGAGTTACTAAGTGGTTTCTGTATTTGATATTATGTTCCAATGCCTCCTATTTTCTTTGCATATTAAACCCACTTGTATATGAAAACTGCAAAGAAGTGGTTTCTTTGGTGTTCTCATGTGAACTTTCAAATGCTTATGCTTCCAGAATAGACCCACGAGTTGGGACCCACACTGCCATCTGAAGTCCTCCACCCCAAGTTTCAGGTATGTCTTGATGGTAGAATCGTTTTTCTAGGCCGTGATGATAGGGGAATAAAACCAAAGCATTTGCTTACCTTCAGGTTATGCACCCACTCCCTGAGTGCTTGACTGTGCATCATGAATGCTATCAAAATGGAGGCAGTTCAGTTTGCAGTACTATCTTTTATGAACTTATTCACGGCAATGCCAATGGAACAGTGAAACACTGGGCAGCAAATACCGTTAACAATACCGTGAGCACTGGACTGTGTGGTGCAGGAAGGCCTTTGCAGATGCTGACCTTTTCTGCAGGCAGGGCTCCTGGAACACCGAGAGTGGTCCTGTATGGAAGAGTGTGTGAAATGCACTGTTTAAAGAACAGACAGACGTCTCTAATACCACACCCGTGCTGAGCAATGGGGCATCACTGGGCCTTTAGAGGCCCCTGGGCAGCCCTCCCAGATCACACTGTTTTCCTTACTCCACCAATAGCCGCTTTCCTTTTGGATGCCAGTCACAGTTATTCTCTATGCTCTCGCTGCTGTCCCATGACTTCTAAGAAGAATAACTTAACTAGTTAGCCAGCATGACACAAGATGAATTGAGAGCGACAGTGGCTGTATGTGGTGAGTCGGAAGACAAGCTGCCTCAGGATTCATGAACGCTTATGGGAACCCCTCTAGGCAGGGCCAGGAGTGAGCCCTAGGATCCATGGGGCTTGTCATTGCATGGTCTCCAGCCTGGGCATGATGCAGCGCAGTGATTATGTGTCCAAGGGGAGGGAGTGGGGTTGCTCAGCCTTTCCCCAGCTAAGCCCACCAGGACTTAGCCCCACAATGTCAGAGCTGAGTGAGGAGCAGAGCTAAAAGGGGCACAGACGCAGGACAGGAGGGGGACACAGAAGCATCAGGACACAGCAAATAGAGACAAGAACCGAAGCCAAGTTGCTGTGTGCTTTGGGCCTCAGCTGACAGATGGAACATGGAGGGGTGACCATTGAGGATGTCTGCGCACATCCATCAAAACTGGCAGGTCCCTCCAGCATTTTCTGGGGGCTTGGGGTACCTCTCTTCCATGATCTTCAGCTTTTGGATTCCATGTGTGCTCTTTTTTCTTGTTTACCATTTCATCTTGGTGGATTCTATCCTTCGGTTAATTCTTGAGAGTATGTCCCAATTCTTGCCTGGAGGTTTGGCTAAATATAGAATTCTAAGCAGAGGGTCATTTCTCCTTCAGATATTTAAAGACATTGCTGCATTGGGTCTCATTGCTATTGTTGATGTACCTGAATCTAAATGCAGTGTGTGACTTGTCCCCATGCCCAAGGGCCCTTCCCTCCTCTGCCATCAAGACTATAGAACCTTCCAGTCTGTGCTCTGGAAGTTCACACATACATGTTATGGGTGTGTACTGTTTTGTTCAAAAGACAATGCTCTGATTAGGTCTTTTTTGATTTGTTAACTCTTTATTCCCCTCCCCCACTTCTGTTTATGATTTCTCCTCTTGGTCCCCTTTTGATAGTTCCCTTGCTGATGCTGTGAAAAAATCCTCCTACCAAAAGCAAGCTGAGGTGAGAGGCTTTGTTTGGCTTCCAGTTCCAGCTCATAGTCATTGAGAGCAGTCAGGGCAGGGACTCAAGACAGGCAGGAAGCGTGGAGGAATTGCCTGCTGGCTCCTTCTCTGGTTTGCTCACAGGTTCAGGTAGAGTAGCTTTCTCCTACATCCCAGGACCAGCTTCTAAGCAATGGTGTGATCCACAGAGGGCTGGGACCTGCATCAGTTACTAATCAAGACATTTACCCAGAGACATGCCCACAGGCCGGACTGACCTAGGCAGGTCCTAAATCGAGTCTTTCTTCTCAGACGATTCTAGGCTGTCAAGCTGACAGCTAATGCTAACTAGGACTCTATTCTACCACTTTTTCTTGGTACAAATATTATTTGTTTTTTTCATTTTGGTTTTTTTTTTATTTGTTTTGCTAGTTTTTCTCGTTCTCTTTTTCTTTCTTTTCCTGTTTTGTTTGTTTATTTTTTGTTTCGCGAGAGAGGGTCTCTCTGTGAGGGTGGGACTGGCATAATTCCTGGGGACAGAATCTCAGAATATGTGCTGGGAAGGCTGCTGTCCGGCTGGCGAAGGCTTTACCTGGTCCCTAACATCTTTTGACCTGCCCCTCCTTATCGAGGATTCCCGGTTCTAAACCTTGCTTTAAGAATCTGTGTTGTCCTGGGCTAAGTTCTTAGCTTTCTCAGCTGGCTCCTCTGCTTTTAGGCTTCTGTGATGTTGTTGTTTTCCTTTGTCTTCTCTCTGGCTTTGTGAGTGTATGTCTTTGGAAAAACTAGTTTGTTTTGAAAAGTTTCAAGAGGGAGCCAAATGGGTTGTGTGCACGTTTCCATGTAAGCCCTAACCCTAGCATCTGCGACAATATTTCCCCTGTAAGCAGAGTCTGGCATCACAGATAATTGCAGTTAAGGCTTTGGCATCTTCCTTCCTCCTCTGTCTGCCTGCAAATGTCTTATTCTTCAAAACTTACTGTTAATTTAAAACGTATTTATTATCATTGCGTGTATGATATGTGAGTAGACACATGGCATGAGGCACATGTGGAGGTCGGAGGACAACTTTCTGGAGTTGGTTCTCTCTTTCTCCCTTTAGGTAGGCTCTGGGGATCGAACCCAGGTCATCAAGCTTGCACAGCAACACTTTTACCTACTCAGCCTTCTCACTGGCCCCTTCTTTTATCAGATGACTGATTGATTGATTGGTTGGTGATGGGAACAGAGCTGAAGCCTTTCAGTGCTCTATCACTTAACTACATTCCTAACCCACCTTGCTATATTCTTACACAGTCTACAAAAAGAAACTCCAGTGTCTGATTTCTGCAAAGTCTATTTGTGTCCCTAATTCCTACCACTGTTTACATCTCATGAATCTTTCTGAGACCAGCCCTGTGCAGCATCTTCTGCAGTCTCCATGTGCAGCCCTCATGAACTTCCCGGATGGGCTGGTGTCTCATGAACTCCCCGGATGGGCTGGTGTCTCATGAACTCCGCGGGATGGCTGGTGTCTCATGAACTCCCCAGGATGGGCTTGTATCTCATGAACTCCCTGGGATGGCTGGTGTCTCATGAACTCCCCAGGATGGGCTTGTATCTCATGAACTCCCCGGGATGGCTGGCGTCTCGTGAACTTCCCGGGATGGCTGGCGTCTCATGAACTCCTCAGGATGGGCTGGTGTCTCTGTGGCTCTGCCCAGTGTCTATGAGGAACTGACAGATGTCAGCACTGAATTCATTTCTGTGCATGCTTACTTTATCTTGGCCCCTCCACTTTCTGGTCTCTTCCCTCTGATAAGAGACAGGTGTGTTAACCACCTGTGCTATCATCAGACAGAAGCTCATGTCCTATAACCTCAATCCTCACTTGTTTACTTTTGAGACAGGGTCACACTCTGGAGCTTCCACACTGGCTTTAAACATATTATATAGACCGGGTTGACCTCAAACTCATGGTGGTCCTCCTGCCTAAACCTCTCAAATACGAGGATTATCAGAGTGATCCACCATGCTGGTAGTCATAATCTTACATTTTAAAATGAACGATCGGTCAGTTTACTGTGCTAGGTTGACACTGTATAGAAATGAACAGCCATATTTGCCTAGAAGTGTTCCTAGTTTTCATTTTTACAAGGATAATGCACTGTGTGAAATAGAATAGCCTTATCTATGTGGGTTTGATTACAACAATTAATAAAATATGCTCTAAATAATGAAAAAAGCCAGTGACTAGTAGAAACAATATTTTTCAAACAATCATTCAGATTATGTCTGCATGTTCTACATATCACATTTATAGAACAATCTGATCTTTGTCTCCTACTGTGAGCAAAACTGAAAGACAAATTTTCTCTTAGCTCAATATAAAGTGATAATTATTACCCCCATAATGAAATTATCTATTGAAGGGTCTGAGACATTTAAATAAATTGAACATGTACTTTTAGTGTCAATAGAAAAAAGTTAAATGTTTATAAAGCCTATAATGTTATAAATGTTTATAAAAGGAGTGGCTCCTTTTAAAGTTTCTTTTAACTTCATTATTTTTATTTTATGTATATATGTATATGCTAGTTTTGCCTTCATGTATGCCTGAGTATAGCTTGTATACCTGGTGCCTGGGGAGGCCAGAAGAAGGTATCAGACCCCCTGAAACTGGTGTTACAGTTTTGAGCTACCGTGTGGCTGTTGGGAATGGAATCTGGATGCTCTGAAAGGGCAGCCAGGGCTCTTAATGACTGAGTCACCTCTCCAAACTCTTTAAAAAATTCAAACACTTTCTTTGAGATTTATTGAGGTGTGTGTGCATGTGTGAGGTGTATGCACTGGAGTGGGGAGATGTACACGGACCCATGTGCTTGGACTAGCGCAGTCACATGAGGAGAAAGAGGAGGGTCTCTGCTATTCTCTCTTAGACCCTTGAGACAGGGTCTCTCCCTAGACCTAAAACCCACCTTTGCAGCGGGGTTAGCTGGTCAGGGAGATCCTAGAATCTACTGTTCCCTTCGACCCCAATGCTTGAGTCACAGGGTCGCGTGGCCATTCTTGGCGTCTAACTGGGGTGCTCGAGAGTCAAACTCGAGCCCTCAGGCTTGCACAGTTCACTCATTGCCCTGGCCCCAGTTCGTGATTTTGCTCTGCTCCTATTAATAACACAGTCCCATCTATGTCTCCTTTATACGTACTTCAGAAATAGGCAAAATGAATTGGACATCGAGTCTGATTAATCTTCAACTTCTTTGATAACCAGGTGTCGATTTCTGACTTTTGAAGATGGATGAAGGCACAGAAGTTTCCACTGATGGAAATTCCTTAATCAAGGCTGTGCATCAGAGCCGGCTTCGCCTCACAAGACTTTTGCTAGAAGGTGGTGCCTACATCAATGAGAGCAATGACCGTGGAGAAACACCTTTAATGATTGCTTGTAAGACCAAACACATCGACCAGCAGAGCGTAGGTAGAGCCAAGATGGTTAAATACCTTCTAGAGAACAGTGCTGACCCCAACATCCAGGACAAATCCGGGAAAAGCGCTCTGATGCACGCATGCTTAGAAAGGGCTGGCCCGGAGGTGGTTTCCTTGCTCCTCAAGAGTGGGGCGGACCTCAGCTTGCAGGACCATTCTGGTTACTCAGCTCTGGTTTATGCTATAAATGCAGAAGACAGAGATACCCTGAAAGTCCTTCTTAGTGCTTGCCAGGCTAAAGGGAAAGAGGTCATTATCATAACGACAGCAAAGTCACCCTCTGGGAGGCACACCACGCAGCAGTACCTCAACATGCCTCCTGCAGACATGGATGGGAGCCATCCACCAGTCACGCCTTCAGAAATTGACATCAAAACCGCCTCGATGCCACTCTCATATTCTTCGGAGACGGACCTGACACTTTTTGGCTTTAAAGATAAGGAGTTTTCTGGAAACAGTGATAATACCTGGGACCCGGACTCTCCTGGGCGGAAGCCTGTGATGACCCCTAACGGGCCCAAGCTATCCCAGGTTGGGCCAGGCTGGATCAAGAATCCCCCATCATTAAAGCACCAAGCCAGAGTGGCCTCCTTGCAGGAGGAGCTCCAAGATATCACTCCAGAGGAGGAAACAGCCTACAAGACCAACGCGCTGGCACTGTCCAAGCGCTTTATCACCAGGCACCAGAGCATCGATGTTAAAGACACCGCACACTTGCTCAGGGCCTTTGACCAGGTCAACTCAAGGAAGACGTCATATGATGAAATAAATTACCACTCTTTGTTTCCGGAAGGAAACCAGCCATGCATGGAAATTCCCGCTGACCAAGACCCGGACCCTAGCCAGACCCTCTTTGCCTCCACTTTAAGAAGTATAGTTCAAAAGCGAAACTCGGGGGCCAGTCACTACAGCTCCGATTCTCAGCTCTCAGATGGTGTTCCGCCTCCGAACCTAGAAGAGGGCAAAGCTGGAAAGAAAAAGATCTTTGCGCCATCTCCTTCCTTGCTAACAGGGTCCAAAGAATTAATGGAGACTGTCCCTCCGGGCCCCCTGAGCAGGAGGAACCACGCGGTTTTAGAAAGGCGGGGTTCTGGAGCGTTCCCCGTTGATCACAGCCTCGGGCAGAGTAGACCCGGCTTTCTGCCGCCCTTAAATGTAAATCCTCACCCTCCTATCACAGACATCGGTGTCAACAGCAAGATCTGCAGCCTGCTTTCTTGCGGCCAAAAAGCGCTTATGCCAACTGTTCCTAGTTTCCCGAAGGAATTCAAAAACAAAAAGATGTTGTTAAGACGACAGTCTCTGCAGACAGAACAAATTAAGCAGTTAGTAAATTTTTAAGAGATGGCTAGAAAACACATCATGTTCAGATGTCTGTATCAGAAAAACATAGACTTAGAGAAGAAATCTTAACTGTATCCTTTCAAGTTTTAGCTAGTGCATCACGGCTAGGCAGATCAAAATATAGTGTATTTTGTGTTAGGTACAGTGAGCACACCATAATATATAGCTTCCAAGGAAATTCTAACAAAATGAAAGCTGTTTTTCTCAAAACCTCCAGTATTTATCGACTTTCATGTGGTCCAAGTTTTTCATCTAAACAAAAATGCTCCAAGAAAGAAAGGTACCTATGCGAGAATCGATTTTTAAAATTTCAGATTGGCTTCGTGTTCTATAAAGAAACAATGTGTTCAAGTTAGTAATCTTGTCAACACTTTATATCAACACGGTTGTAATTTTCCATGATGTCAAAATCACCAAAGAAACCCTGACATCAGTGAAGCTAAACTATAAGGGAAGGATAAACAGATTCTTTAAAAATGTTGACTCAGACAGGTAAAAGTCTTATTTAAAAAATGTAAACATGAAAGACTAGTTAGGAAGAGCAAGCACTGCTCACAATGGCTGCTACACCTGCATCAGAATGGCAGGCGAGGGGCCGAGGAGACGGCTCACAGGCTGTGCAAGCCTGAAGACCTGAGTGTGGATTCCTAGAATTCACAGAACAACTAGACCCAGTAGTGCAAGTGTCTGCCATCCCTGCATTCTCTGCGGGTAGATGAGGGGCAGAGCCAGGAGAATCCCCAGAAGCTCATGGCTCAGATAATCTGACTGACTCTGAGGTGGTGAGAGCCTGCCTCAAACAAGGGGACAAGGGATGACTGACCCCCCCACCCCCAAGGTAGTCCTCTGGCAGCCACAACCCCTCCCCCACACTGGCAAGGCAGGGCAGTAAGCCATATGCCAAAAATGCCAAATTCTGTTGTCTTTGCACCGTGTTTTGCTTTCAAATGATCTTGCCAATCATGTTATCTTATGGTATTATTTCTTGTGTGTTTTTTTGAGTCTCTTTCCCATAGGTTTCTAACACCAAGATAATATAAAAGTTAAAAAGGGTTCCCTTAATTTATATTATTCTTTTCTTCCCCAAAGAAATAGGATTCCCCTTGACTTACATTATCCTTGTCTTTCCAAAAGAAACACCCAAAACAGGGTGGGGGTGGGGGTGGGCTGCAAAACGTTTGGGATTGAGCATAAATGGAAATTAAACGCTTGCTTCATTCTAAAAACAGAAAAGCTGATTAACAGATTAGTTTTTTAGCTAAAAGTACAAAAACCAAGTAGAACTTTAATCATAAAACATATTACTGGGTCACTACTAAGCAGTATCTTTATTTCTGATATGTAGATATTAGACAGTCATATAAAGATATATAATGCCCTTGGTGTGACATTTGGACCATCTAGTATCTTAGGGTCAATGAATAACTTTTAACAAAATACACATTATTATAAGATATTCTAAAAATGACAGTATTACCTACATGACTTCAAAGTCTGGTGTTCAAAGACTTCTTCCTTGCAGCAGTTCTGAAGCAAAGACTGACAGAAACCCCGGGGTGTGAGTCCAACGACATCATCTATAGCTTCCATGCCTCGCCCAGCAGGTGGCGCGATGCCTTTCTTGGTAATTTGATATCAGCAATTTGAAATGTACATAGAAATTATGTAATTATCTGTGGCTTTTATTTTAAAAACTAATTGCAGGTTTTTTCCATTTAATGTTTTAAAGAAAATATTAATTACATTAGAAAATATTTTTATTGAGAAATCAAAATTGTACTGATGTTTCTAAGTAGCTGGATTCCGTTCATGAGTTTTATTATCACCAAAAGCACTTGACCTCACACTGCAAGGACGCAGTTCGGAAGAGAATGTAAATAGGGTAATTCATTATCAAGATGCTATCAATAAAGGCTTAAAATAGCATTTTGACCAAGTTTTATTTCTCCCACAAATACTAATAGTAAACACTGCAACATAATTTCAAGAGAAATTGTGCCACACATATAACTTAAAGAACAAAAAGATAAGAACAACTCGTCTTCCCAACATGAGGCCATGGTTGGCCATCATCAGTCCTAAGAACATTTTAGATACTCAGGCTTCAAGAGTCTGGTTGTAAAGCCATTTCATGAGGCTTTTTTTTTACTACACTAAATGGTTATTACTGGAAGCCCATGATGAGTCGCCAATGTTTCCTACAGAAGTCTGGTGTGTGTGTGTGTGTGTGTGTGTGTGTGTGTGTGTGCGCATGCATGCGTGCGCCCATACACATTTTCTATTTATATTTGAATTTCATGTAGCGTTGGATTTAACTTTAACTTAAAGGTCAAATAATACTTCATATACTGGCTTTACCAGTACCATTCTTAGTTCCGGGTGAGCAGAATTTCCTGGATCATAACTAATATAGACCCAGGGAAACAGTTATTCCGAGGGACAGGGCAGGCCTTGTTACTAAGACGAGCTTGGAATGGCCTATCCAAAGAAGGTATCTATACCTGCATAGTGTATCCTCAGTAGAGATGCACAGGCCAGGCATCTAGTAACAGAGTCCTTTGCAAATCTCGCTCTGCTCCCTAATAATTTGAGTCCTGTATTCGCTTAAAAGAGAGATGGCATTTTTGAGGGTGACGAAGAGGTTTCTAGGAGTGCCGGAGATAGCAAATCAGCCGGCTGCAGTGGACTTGCCCACCAGCTTCACCATGTACAGGCAGGTCAGTCAGTCATAAAGAACAAGATGACATCACGTGCAGGAAAATGGATAGAAATAGATACCATCATGTTAAGCAAAACATGCCAGACTTGGGTAAATACATGTATTTTGTCACATGGAAACTATTTTAAATCTACAGAATTAAACATGGCTGTGATATGAAAACCATTTGGGGGAGGAAAGGGAACAGGTGGAAGAGGGACAAGAGGAGGTACAGGGGTTAGATATGAACAAAATGTATGATGTTACCTGCGTGAATATATTAAAATGAAGCTAGAGAGATAGTTCGGGGGGTAAAGTTACTATGGAAGTATGGAGACATGAGTTCAGATCTTCAGGATTCACATAAACTAAGTATGGCTATGAGCATGCATAACCCCAGGAGGCAGAGGCAGGAGCCGGGGGAGGGGGTTGTGGCTAACCAATCACACAAGTTCTAGGCTTAGTAAGAGAATTTCGTCTCAGAAAACAAAATGGAAAACAATAAAGAAAGACACCCAAGGTTGACCTCTGGACCCCCCACACACACACACGTTTACACACACACACACACACACACACACACACACACACACACACACGTTTACATACACACATACATACACATGTTTACACACACACACACACACACACACATACCCCTGTGCATACAACACATCGATGTCACAATTGTAAGGTAATTCCACCAAGGAACACACCCACACTTGTAAAGCCCAACAGAAAGTCCGTATTCCCAGCTGGCAACTGCACGGGGCACTTGCCCAAATCACGCAGCCCCAAGCCACACCATTCTTTGCATTTTATGCACAAAAACCACATCCTGGTTGGCACACTTTGGTTAGCCAGAGCAATTAGTGAGAAGTGAAACTTCAGAAGCCAAAAAGCATGGTTAACACATTTAGGGACTTTGCTGGATCTTGAAACTCTGGTCTATCTCTGATGAATTAGATCTTTGTTCCCATTTTGGCTGTTGTAGGAGTTTATGTGCTGGGTTGTAAGGTCAGAATGACACCTCTAACATGGTGTCAGTTGTGCTAAGATTTCAGGGCCTGCTACATTATGGCACTCATTTTGTATGATGAATATATGCTAATTAATTATTTAAAATCAGATTAAATTTTAAGAGCAGCTCTTTTTGCCTCCAGGGAACCTGACATTGCCTGGGTGGTGATAATGGTATGGGCCACATCATATTCTTTTGGGAAACGGCAGTTTTGGTTTTTGTTTTGCTTTTTTCCTTTTTTTTTTTGTTTGTTTTGTTTTGAGATATGGTTTCTCTGTATATTCTCTGTGTAGCCCTGGCTGTCCTGGAACTCTCTCTGTAGACCAGGCTGGTCTTGAACTCAGAGACCCGCCTGCCTCTGTCTTCTGAGTACCGGGATTAACGGGGTGTGCCACCACTGCCCGGCAGTATTTTTCAAAATCAACTCTTCGTTCCTGTCTCCTATCTTCTTTTTTTCCCTCCCTCTCTCCATCTCTCCTTCTCCCCCACCCCTTTCCTGTGAGTCTGTCTACACTTTCCAGACTGACCTAGAACTTCTGGGCTCACAGGATTTATGTGCCTCAGCCTACTGAGGCTAGGAGCTGGAATCGTAGGCAACACCTCTGTGCTTGCCTTGAAATCTATTTTACTACAAGGCTTAATTCAATCGGAAGCCATGATTCTTAGTAGATAGTTGCAGTGTTCTCTAGATCATATTTACTTGTTCTGTTGCGATTCAATGTCATTATATAGTTCAGGCTGGCCTTGAACTGAATGATAGAGGCCTTGGCAAGTACCACGATACCTGGCTATTATTTATTCTTTGGTAATTTCATGCATATACACAATGTATATCATCCACCCACAGCTGACTCTTAGATTGCAAGTCCACGCTCCTAGGAGAGTCAGAGCATAGCAGATCTGTCAGATACGGGAGACTCACCTGCCCGCCTCCCAAGTGAACACCCTATCTCTGCAAACCTTCTCTCAGAGTCTGCAATTAAAGGGAGGAAAAGAAAGAAGAAGGCCAGGAAGGATGTCCTGCAGTTATCAGGAACTGCGCAAGGACTCCAGTCTGCCGGGCTGCAGGAGCAAATCCGCAATGAGAAGCTTAGCAGTCATGAAGGCTGTGGGTTCAGCAGCACGGGGTTAGGACGAGCAATGGCTGGTGAGGGAGATGGGCAGCTTCGGTTAATCACTGGTTTAGGGTCGTCTGTGTGTGCTGGAACTGCCAACGGAGCCAGATCACACAGCTGGAAGATTAATCTGTGTCCACTGCTGATCCAGCCCTCCTTAATC